CCAGCTCTTATAACTATTTCAAAAATTAAATTTATAACCTAAAAGTTCCCAAAAAGAAATGTCCAGGTCCAGATAATTCACTGAAGAATATTACCAAACATTCATATAATGTTTTACACTATTTCTTCCAGAAAACAAGAGAACACTTTCCAGCTCATTTTACAAGGCCAGTATTACTTTGATACCAAAACAAGACTAAGGCAGTACAAAAAAGAAAACTACAAATCAAATACAACAATGAATAAAAAGTATGATATACTATGACTAAGTGGGATTTATTCCAGATATGAGCGGCATTATATCAATATGACAAATAAGAAAAGTAACATGATCATATCAATACCCTTGCATGAAAAAAAACTCTCAGGGTATTAGGAAGAGAGGGAAATTTCCTTAACTTCATAATATACAGCATCTACAAAATACCTGTAACTAATATCAAACTTAATGTTAAAGACTGACTACAGCTGGGCATGGTGCCTCACCTCTGTAATCCCAGGGCTTTGGGAGGCCAAGGTGGAAGGATCACTTGAGCCCAGAAATTTAAGACCAGTGTGGGCAGCATAGCAAGATCGTGTCTCTAAAAAAAATTAAAAATTAGCTGGGTTTGGTAGCACATGCCTGTAATCCCAGACACTTGGGAGGCAAACAGGAGGATCACTTGATCCCAGAATGTCAAGGGTACAGTGAGCAATGATCATGTTACTGCACTCCAGTCCGGGCAACAAAGTAAGATTCTGTTTTAAAAAAAAAACAACTGAATGCTTCCCCTCTAAAATTGGGACAAGTCTATCTACTCTTACCACCTTATTCAATATAATACTGAAAGTTTTAGTCACTCCAATAAGGCAAGAAAAAAATAAAAAGCAACTGTCTATTTGCAGTGATTTGATTGTTTACAAGTAGGAATCTATAAAAAAGAAACCTAGTACTAATATGTGAGTTGAGTAGGGTCACAGAATACAAGATGAACATACAAAAAACCAATTGCATTCCAAAATAAAAATGTAGGCCAGGCACAGTGGCTCATGACTGTAATTTCAGTACTCTGGGAGGCCAAGGTGAGAAGACGAATTTGAGCCCAGAGGTTCAAGACCAGCCTGGACAACTTAGCAAGACCTCATCTCTACAATAAATCAACAAAAATTAGCTGGGCATGGTGGCACATGCCTGTAGTTTCAGCTACTTGGAAGGTTTAGGAGGAAGGATCTCCTGAGCCCAGCAGATTGAGACTGCAGTGGCCATGACTGCACTCCATTTTGGGAGACAGAGTAAGATTCCAACTCAAAAAAAAAAAAAGGCAATATCATTTACAAATGCTCCAAAAAAAAATGAAACTGGTATACAATTAACAAATTGAATTTTGTATGATGAAAATTGTTAGATGCTAATGAAATAAATCAAAGAAAACTTAAAATATTTGGAAAGGCATGTTGTGTTCATGCACTGGAACTCAACAGAGTAAAGGTGTTCTCTCCTACTTCATCTATAGGCTTAACACAATTTCTATTAAAATCTCAGCACAGGCAAGCTTATTCTAAAATTTATATGTAAAGAAAAAGGTCTTAAGGGCGGCCAAAACATTTAGAAAAATAATACAGTAGGAAGAATGTCTTTCCAATGTTAAGACTTACTAGATACCTATAGTAATCAAGAAAATATGATACTAGCAGAGGCAGTCATAGAGATCAATGGAACAGAACAGACTACCCAGAAATAAGGCCACACAAACGTGCCCAACTAATTTTTAACAAAGGCAAAAAAGCAATTCAATTGAGATGGGATAACTTTTAAAATAAATGATATTGGAGCAACCAGTAATCCATAGGCAAAAAAACCCAAAAGAATATTGATCTAAATCTCATACTTTCTACAAAAAATGAACTCAAAATGGACTATAAACAAAAATGAAAAATGTAAAACTATAAAATTCTAGGAAATAACACTGGAGAAAATCTTAAAGACCTAGGACTAGTCAAAGAGTTCTTGGACTTGACACCAGATACAGACACACACACACACACACACACACACCCACACACACACACACCAAAAACACAATTCATAAGGGGAAAAAATGACAAATTAGACACAATCAAAATTAAAAACTTTTGTTCTAAAAAAATCCTGTTAAAAGGATTAAAAGTAAAATTACAGACTGAGAGAAAATATCTTCAAGTTATATATCCAACAAAGGCCTTCTATCTAGAATACACAAAGTGAAAACTCAACAGTAAAAACCAATCAAATTAGAAAATGGGCAAAAGACATGAACAGACATTTCACTGAAAAGGGTATGCAGATGTGTTTCATGCAAAAACATGAAAAGATGCTCAACATTATTTGCCATTAAGGAAATTTAAAAACACAATCAGATATTATTACTCACCTATCAGAATGGCTTTAATGAAAAATAACTACAACACCAAGTGCTGGCTAGGATTCAGAAAAACTAGATCATTTATACAATGCTGGGAGAATGTAAAATGGTATGACCATTGTGGACAATAGTTTGGCAGTTCCTTTTAAAACTAAAAATGGACTTATCATGCTACCCAGCAATTACATTCTTGAGCATTTATCCTAGATAAATGAGGACTTATTTTTAAGTACAAACTTGTATATTAATATAAGAAACATAAATACAAACATGCACACATATATATGTAATTGCCCTCCTTCCTTCCTAATCATCCCTGTTATCTCTACCTCCTCAATGTTGTAGTCATGTTATTTTCTCTAACTTTTTCAATTTCTATCCAACACTAACTTTTTTCCTAAGAATTCTATTAGAATATCTATTCATATGTTCTTGATCCCCTACTGGATTGAATATGTATACAAACACATACACACACACACACACACACACACACACACACACACACACACAGAAGAAAATAAAAGTCAGTCTTAAAATTCATGAAATTATGTAATTTACATTTATGTAAATTCCATTTATGTAACATTCACGAAATTACATAATTATATAGATGAAAAGCAGAATAGTGGTTGCCAAGGATTAGGGAAAAGGGAAAAGGGTAGATAAAGAGGTAACATGAGGGAGTCTTGAAGTTTGGTACTGTTGAGTATTTTGGCTATTGTGGAGGTGACACAAGGCTACACATGATAAAACTGCATAAAGCTATACACATATACACACATATATGAGTGCACGTATAACTAGTGAAATCTGAATAAGTTCTATGAATTGTAGCAAAGTCAATTTTTTGGTATTATACTGTAACATAGTTGTGTGAAGTATTAACACTGAGGGAAGCTGGAGGAAGCGTACACAGGTCTTCCCTGTACATTTCTTTTTTTTTTTTGAGTTAGAGTCTCACTCTGTCACCCAGACTGGAGTGCAGTGGCCGCTCCCGGCCACTGCAGCCTCAACCTGCTGGGCTCCAGCGATCCTTCAGTCTCAGCCTTCCAAGTAGCTGGAACTACAGGCACGTGCTACCACACCCAGATAATTTTTTGATTTATTGTAGAGATGAGGTCTCGCCAAGTTGCCCAGGCGGGTCTTGAACCCGCGGGCTCAGGTAGTCCACTCACCTCAGCCTCCCAAAGCGCGGGATTACAGGCTGAGCCACCAATCCCAGCTTCCCCTATACATTTCTTTGCAACCTCTTATTGTTCTATATTTCAAAATAATTTTTTTTTAAATCACTGCACGCATACCAAAGGAAAGGCCTATCCAGGCATCAAAAATTGGTAAGGGAATAATATCATTACATTAAAACATGTAGGAAAGTATGTATCATTTTCCCAGGATTCCCCTCTATCAGTTTCCTAGGACTGCCATAACAAAGTAGCACAAACTGAGTGGCTTAAAACAACATAAATGTATTCTCTCACAGTTCTGTAGACTATAATGAGTGGTGGACATCATCAAAGACTTCCGGCCTGTAAAATGGATCTGCTCTTGACCTTTAGCACCCTAAGCTTTCCTGGTTAACCTCCTTTCTTCCCAATCATCCCTCTGCCATCTCTACCTCCTAAATGTAGTCATATATTATTTTTTCTAACTTTCCCAATTTCTAACCAACACTAATTTTTTCCTAGGTATTCTATTAGAACATCTATTCTTTTTTTTGTTGTTTTTCTTTTTGAGTTGGAGTCTCACTCTGTCACCCCAGGCTGGAGTGCAGTGCTCATGGCCACCACAGCCTTGACCTGCTGGGCTCATGTGATCCTTCCACCTCAGCCTTCCAAGTAGCTGGAACTATAGGCACACGCCACCATGCCTGGCTAATTTTTTGATTTATTGTAGAGATGAGGGCTCACCAAGTTGCGCAGGCAATCCTCTCACCTCAGCTCTCAAAGTGCTATAATTATAGGCATGCGCCACCATACCCAGCCTATTCATAAGTTCTTGATCCCCTACAAAACCAACAATGTCTTTATAATACTTTAGAAACGTATTCCCATCATCTAGCAACGTGTATGAATCTTTTTTAAAAAACTGATCAACAATGTTGATTGTGCCTTTTGAGGAACACAAGTTTTTAGGTTCGATGTAGTCCCATTTGTGTATGGTTACCTCTGCTTTTGGTGTCATACCCAGTAAAACACTGCCAAATCCAGTGTCATGAAGCTTTTCCCCAATATTTTCTTCTAAGGGTTTTTATTGTTCTAGCTCTTACATCTAGGACTTTGATCCATTCCAAGTTAATTTTTGCATATGATATAAGATAAGAGCATAATTTTATTCCTTTATTGTAGACATCTAGTTTTCCCCATAGTAATCCTGGCACCGATGTCTAAAATGATTTGACTGTCTGATGCAAGGATTTATTTCTAGGCTCTCTATTCTATTCCATTAGTTTATATATCAGTCTTTATGCCAGTACTATACTGTTTAATTATTGTAGCTTTGTAATAAGTTTTGAAATTAGATTTCCCCTAATTGTTCTGTCTAAAATAAACTTGCCAACCCAACATTCTGATCAGCTGGCCTACTCCTTGCAAAAGCTTCCTGATTATTGCTCACTTACCTGGGTACCATCTTCCTGTCTCTTCCCTCATAACTATCCAGGGCTCCTTCCCTTGCTCCAATGAAGAGATTACAGCTGGCTTAGAAATAGAAAGTCCTGGTTATAAGAAAAGAAACTGAAATGAGCTGGAAATAAAGGTATCCAAATACAATGTTCAGAACTAAAATGAAAATAAATCACAGGTCAAAATGGTACTTTGTAAGGAATATAGAGGAAAGAAAGAAGAAGGGATGAAATACTCATATACAGATGATTTCAAGATCATAAGACACAAAGCAAACAAATGATAAAATACTACTTAAACATATATAAACTTTCTCTATTCTTATTTTGCTATTAAAAAAAGAAGTTTCCTGAGACACTTATTCTCAGATGTTTTTAATGCTAAATGTATTAAGCTCTTAGACTACAAAGGCAAATATTTAAAAGACAGTACATTTGTTATAGGAAACAGAATAGTGTTCATTGGAGCTGTAAACAGTAAAAGACCTTTCTTGATCCAACCTACCATTACATTAATCAGGAAAGCAAAGAACTTCACTCCTGGAACCCATATGTTTAGTTTTAATCTATGCTAGTGCATTGGGAAATTTCATACAGTGGAAGTGTAACAAAAGACAAAGCCTGGTTTCCCTGACAATGCTATGTTTGAGTGTTGCAGAATCCCTTAAACATCAAAGAAGAAAGTTATTATAAGAAAGGACCAGAAGAACACGTAAGAATGGAGAAAATGAAAATGCACCTCTATCTAGCTGTGTTCATTTCTACACGAAGAGAAAAGTTATCTAGTTATTTGAAAACTATCCCTAAAATTCACAAAGGAGAAATCCGAAATTTCAAGAAGTAGATTCTGAATTGTTAGAGGCATTCTGAATTGTTAGATAAGTTTACCAAGTGAAACCAAGTTGCTATAGTTCTCCAACATCACATCCTTGTACAAATTCCTCTGCGCTGAGTTCAGGCATTCCCATTCCTCCTGAGAGATTTCTATAGCCACATCTTTGAACATCACCAACTCCTAAAATGATAAATCACAGTACTATTTTTGAAATTATAAGAAACATTTTTTTAAAAAGACAGAGGGATGCTAAAAGAAGGCACTGCAGGAAAGGGGATAGTATAGTGAGTATGCAAGCTAAGCCTGTGACATAGCTCAAAAAGGAATTTAGTACAACTGAAGCAGCGTTCTCAGATGTTCTTAAACTAATTTTTGCAGACACATCCTCTTGTGTAGAGTGGAAAACTCCTATTAGTCATCTAGAAATTAGGAAAATAAGTAGAAGCTCCCAATTAAATTAAATAATTTAACAACTTTTAAATCTTTCCAGAACATTCTATACAAATCTCCATCTTGAGAAAAAGGACTTGAAGATTCTACTTCATTATTATGACTATCAAGCCATAGGCATTTTCAGTTTTCACGCCAAAAAAAAAAATAAAAATGTTTTTTTGAGTCTCACTCTGTTGCCCAGGCTAGAGTACAGTGGCACAATCATGACCACTAAAGCCTTGACCTGCTGGGCTCAGGCAATCCTTACACATCAGCCTTTTAAGTAGCTAAAATTACAAGCACATGCCACCACACCCAGCTAATTTTTTTATTTATTGTAGCAATGAGGCCGTGCCAAATTATCCAGACTAGTCTCAAACCCCTGGTCTCAGCCCATCCTCTTGTCTCCGCCTCCCAAAATGCTAGGATTACAGGCATGAGCCACCGTGCCCAGCTTGGATGTTGGCTACAAAAAAAAAAGCCTGAAACTCCTTGGTTCAAGTGATCCTCCTGCCTCAGCCTCCCGAATACCTGGGACTATAGGTGTGTTACCACCACACCCAGCTAATTTTTTCATTTTTTTGTAGAGACGTGGTCTTGCTATGTTGCATAGGTTGGTCTTGAACTCCTGGGTTCAAGCAATTCTCCTGCGGCCTCGACCTTCCAATGTGCTGAGATTACAGGCGTGAGCCACCATGCCATGCCGCAAGCAAATTTTTTAGTAAACATCTGGTGCAGACTATATTTTCCACATTTTCCATCCCATATGTTCTCCTTCAATATAACCTTGCCATGCCCTCTTCCAATTAGTGCAGGAGTCTGTGCCCCCTTCTCTTGAACCTGAGAGGACATTTGTGACTTACTCAACCTATAGAGTATGGCATAAGTGATTACGTGATTACTGAGTTTAAGCCACAAAACTGACTCATACTTCTGCCTTACTTCATTGGGATGAGGTCCAGCCAACATGCTCCTAGGAAGCCTAATCAGCTCATGGAATGGCTCACAGGTAAAGAAACCAAGGCTGCCAAAACAACAGCTAGCAACAGCTTGCAAGCCATGTGCCAGAACTATCTTAAAAGTAGGTCATCTAGCTCCCAATCAAGTCATCTCAGATGACACCATATGGTGAGCTGTCCTTATCGAGCACTGTTCAGATCACAGATTTGTAAACCAAACAAGGATTGCTGTTGTTTTAATCTACTAAATTTTGGGGTGGTTTGTTATGTAGCAATAGTTACATAGAGATAAGCTTTCACTCTCACCCAGGCTGGAGTGCAGTGGCATGATCATAGCTCACTGCAGCCTCAAACTCCTAGACTCAAACAATTCTCCTGTGTCACCCTCTTTAGTAGCTGGGACTACAAAGCATGTGCTACCATGCCCAGCCAAATTTGATCTTATAATAAGAGATTTAATCAATCTCTTACACTTAACTCTCTATGGTAGACAAAATCTGTAAGGTCTTTTCTAAGGTACACACAGCATTGCTTTGCAATTACACCTAGGAGATCTTAACTGTTATTATCCACTACTTCTTGCACACTTACTGTGTTCCTAAATTAGAGAATACTGATATAGAATGATCCAGATTCACATAAATGTGACTTAAGTCTGACATCCCCTGTTCAATATAAAACTGGAATTTGCAATTGGTGATCATATATTTTCTAGCAAGATCTATTTTTCTATGTAAGCACCAATTATGTCTCCATATAATCCTAAAGCTTAAGCAAAAAGTCTCTCCATCCACTGAGATCATCCAACATCAATTTCTATCATATCTAATTGGAAAACCCAAAATTCCAGAGTTCAAAAATTTCCCACATGTGACAATTAACCATTAATTCCCCAAAGATACCATTTCCTATGAGGACATCTTAAGTGGAGGCTGTTTTTTCTCCCACAATCTTCATACCAATCTCCTCCTTGTTCCTCATTGATGGTATCAGACAACTGTCCCTCCTTCTCTAAAATCTAATGTTATCACTTTATCATCTATATTATGCATTATTTCTCCCTTTGCAGTGATTTGTTGATATCCAAGTTTTGAGACCTCAGGAATCTTAGCTCCCGGCTCAGTGATTTCAAACATCCATATACTGAGTCCTTCTAACATCATGGCCTCCCAATTCCCTAACAACTTCTATGATCTCATCTTCCATTCTATTTCACTCACTTTTCATGTTACTATTCTAGATTTTGTCATTAGCAATAACTGCAACATCTACAAAATATTAAGTGCTGCCGGGCTCGGTGGCTCAGCCTGTAATCCCGCGCCTTTGGGAGGCTGAGGTGAGTGAATTGCCTGAGCCCGCGGGTTCGAGACCCGCCTGGGCAGTGAGACCTCATCTCTACAATAAATCAAAAAATCAGCTGGGTGTGGTGGCGCATGCCTGTAATTCCGGCTACTCGGAAGGCTGAGGCGGAAGGATCGCTGGAGTCCAGCAGGCCGAGGCTGCGGTGGCCGGGAGCGGCCACTGCACTCCAGTCTGGACGACAGAGTGAGACTCCAACTCAAAAAAAAAAAAAAAAAAATATTAAGTGCCCTTCTCCCCGATCACCTTCACATTGTCACTCACCATACCTCTTCTCCCTCTGCTTACCCATCGTAAATTCCATGCTCAACTAATCACTCAACTTTATAGAATCACTCTCAGCATGAACTCCCTTTTCGTGAATTCTCATTTCACACTTGCTTTAACAAAGCCTGAATCCTTGATTAATACAAGTCTCTCCCTACTTCATCAGTGCATTTAAGTAGCTGAAAATGGCTAGAGAAAATTGCCATCCTTATGACAGGTTGATATTTTTATATTTTATTTTCCTTTCTTAGATTAAAAACAAAAAAGGTATACAATCAGATGTCTTGTTCCTACCACTATCCTTTCTATTTTGTCTCCCACCTCCTGCCCCTATAGCTAGGCAATATTATAAGTAAACATTCTTCATACTTGTATAAAAGTATAAACAAAAGGTAACACACTATAATACATACACTGTTCTGTACTTAATTGTTTTCACTTATTAAATGCAAGGATCTTGCCATATCTGTGGGCAATGGCTTCTTTATTTTTATGTACATACATATCATTCCATTTTTTAAAATTTATCATTGTTTAATTCCACTCATGAGCCGGGCTCGGTGGCTCAGCCTGTAATCCCACACCTTTGGGAGGCTGAGGTGAGTGGATTGCCTGAGCCCGCGGGTTCGAGACCCGCCTGAGCAACTTGGCAAGATCTCATCTCTACAATAAATAAATAAAAAACTAGGTGGGCGTGGTAGCGCGCGCCTGTAGTTCCAGCTACTTGGAAGGCTGAGGCAGAAGGATCGCCGGAGCCCAGCAGGTCGAGGCTGCAGTGGCCGGGAGCAGCCACTGCACTCCAGTCTGGGCGACAGAGTGAGACTCCAACTCAAAAAAAAATAAATAAATAATTAAAAAAATAATTCAACTCATGGACACTTAACTATTTGCAGTCTTTTGCTATTATAAACAACAGTGCAAGGAATACTTCTGTGAATTCATCATTTCATATAATCACAGGTATATTTGTAAGAAAAAGTCCCAGGAGTTGGACCATTGGGTCAAAATGGAAAATGCTTTTATGATTTTGGTAGATGCTGCTAGATTGCCCTCCAAAGCAGTTGGACCGTTTCACTCTGCTCATAGCCTCACTGACAGGTATTTTGTTAAAGCCTTTTTACTTTACCAAACAAGAAAGAAACTGTATGTCAGTAGAGCTTTTATGGACATTTCTTGAATTGTGAGTTGAGTATTTTTCTTTTTATAATGGCCCTAAGAATTTCGTTTTCTGTGAACTGCCTGTTCATGTCCTTTGATCCTTTTCCTATCAGGCGATTGATCATTTTTTCCCCTAAAAGTCCTCTATATTAGAGAGATAATAATTTCTTTGTTTATGCCAGTTTGCTGTTTGTTTTCTGACTTCACTTACAAGCGTTTCTTCCCATGCAGAAGATTTTTTTTTTTTTTTAGTTGGAGTCTCACTCTGCTACCCAGGCTGAAGTGCACTGGCATGCTCACAGCCCCTAGCATCGACCTGCTGAGCTCAGGTGATCCTTCGGCCTCAGGCTTCCAAGTAGCCGGAACTACAGGTGCGCACTACCACACCTGGCTAATTTTTTGATTTACTGTAGAGATGAGGTCTGGCCAAGTTGCCCAGGCTGTTCTCAAACCTGTGGGCTCTGGCAGTTCTCTCCCCTTGACCTCCCAAAGTGCTGGGATTACAGCCTTGAGCCACTGCACCCAGCTGAGTTTATAAACTTTTGATAAAGGTAACTTCATTTTTCTGATGTTGTTATTGTAGTTGTATTTCACTGTGTTCAGAGAACATTTTCATTTCTGTGTATTGGACATTACTGTGGGCTAATATGTTGTCAGTGTTTACTAAATGTTCCACAGACACTTCAAAGAATGCATATTCAAAATGAGGTTCAATGGAAGGTCCAAAACTTCCCCTGTACCGAAACCACTTACGTATACAATCCTGACCTGTATCCCACAACTTTAAAATTAAATTAAATTTTAAAAAATAATGCATATTAACTATTATCAGGATATCCAATTTAATACAGACATCAATAATGTCGATCTGATGGAGTATGTGATTTAGTACTTCTATATCGTAAGTAAATTTGTCCACTTGGTCTAATTTGGACTGAGAAGAGTAAATTAATGACTCCTACTGCTGGCAAATATCTATTTCTTTTTATAACTGTTCTAAATTTTGCTTCAGGATAGGATCTGATACACATGTATTCATAACTATTATATCTTCATTGTGAAATTTATATTTTAAAATTATATAATGTCCTTCTTTACCATGTTTAATTTTGTGATGTGGCCTTAATCTTAGTCTGTTTTCTTTTAGATTCTATTTATCTGGTATAATTTGTCCATCTTTTTATTAATCTTTCTGAATCAATGCACCACTTAGGTATCTAATCTATAGAGCACAGAGTTAGGTTGTTCTTTGTAATTTAATTAGAAAGTCTTTTTCCTTTACTAGGTGAGTTAAAGCCTGTATGCATTTATTGATAAGACATATATATTTGCCTTCTGGTCTTAGTTTTACCATATAATTATTTAGTTAATTCTCTCTTTCGTTTGCTTTCTATATATCTATGTATATGTCTTAAGACTTATACTATATAAGTTATCTTCTGTTTCTCTCACTACAAGTTAAGTTCCACAAAGGAAAATTTGCGTGTATGTGATTTTTTTTTTCTACACTGATTTATTCCTAAAATATCTATCACAGACTAGGTATTCGATAAATACTTGTAAAATCGCCTCATCAAATCAAAGTTCTGACAAAAGAAACACTAATATTTTCTCAAAATAATACTATTTTTGTGTTCTCTACTTGTTCCTGGTAGAAATATGAGCATAAGGGAGATGAAAAATGATTTATTCAACAAGTATATGAACACTGGTTGGAGAGGAGAGGAACAAAGAACGAAGACTGAAATCCTGGCAGCTCATTAGAAAGTTATTGTAAATTCTCAGAAAAGTAACAATGTCACGATTAAAAATATTCATATATTTTAAACAAAAAAAACTACTTCAATTAGGAACAAGAAAGCATCAACTTACATGAGCCATGGCTTATTTTACATTGAATGTATTAATTAATCCTCTTCTTGGTTCCACTCTAGAAGAAACTCAGTCAAAAGAAGATGTTTCTGGGTGAGAGGGGAGTAAAAAAAAGGAGATAATTGCCATTGAGCTCCCAACATGTTAATTTATACTGACTCTTTATACCTCTTACTCCCCGGCCCTATACATAAAGGATTAGAGGGAATACGGACAAATCCCAGCTTTACTCAAAACCATAAGAGAACCCAGGAATATAGCAGGATGGATTCAAGGAAAACAGAGCTCGGGTTCATCAGCAGAAGGGATTTAATTAGGCCAACCCAGTATCCCGACAGTATGATAAAATAAAAGTGATGGAGCCGCTCAGAACTGCTCTAAGCAGATTCTCACTGAATTAAGAGGAAATAGACATTATGAGAAAAGATCAAGGAAATAGAAAATAGATCCAAAAAAGCCAATATAAGTGTAACAGGGATTTCAATAATAGAGGCTAAAACAACACAGATGGAAAAGAAGAAATACACAGAGTGAAAATTTCCAGACCAAATTAAATTATTGGGGCTTTTAGTTTGAAGTACAGTACTGTACAAATTAAAGAATTACACCTGCAAGCAACCGTGAATACAGACAAAAAGACCTAAGTCTCTTTTAATAAAGAATTCGAACAATGTGTACAGTGGCTAATCTTTGAGAAATTAAAAATAAAAACACATATGTACATAAGCACATATGTGTGGCTTTTTCTGAGGCTGTGTGATTACGATAAATGTAGAGTGGACACTGATCCTGGCTTTATGTTGTGTGTGTAAATCTGCAGCTGACTAATCGAGTATATCCCTGATAGTGTGAGCCTGAGCATAACGGTTTGTGTAAATGTCCTTTTCTTTTGTGTAAGTAAATAAGACTTACACAAATAGTTACTCACAATCATGATCACAGTCACCAACAAACTCCATTCACACAATGATGGCGCACACAAGCACACTGCCACAAACGCACGCACCCAGTCGCTGTCACAACGAACAGGCACACTCACCCCAAGGATGAACCCAACTTTCTTCCCTCAAGTACGCACAACACAACCCAGCCCTCCTCGGGTGTTCTCGCACACAGAGGCCTAAAACTAGGCACTCCTCTTCCACGGCCCTGGTGATCCAGGACTCCTCACCTTCAGCATCCTCCGGTAGGCATCCTCAGCATCCTCAGGTAGTCCAAGTTCTGACTCGGCTACCTGGCGAAGCCCCACGCCCGGAGCCCCGCCTTCTCAACCGGCACCGGAACGTCCTCACCTGCCTCTACAGCCAGGCCGTTCCTCCGAGGCTCCTGCCGGAAGTCGCCTTGGGCAGCGGTCTTCCCTGGGAAATGTAGTCCGAGGGGCCAGTCTCGGAGCCGAACCCGGTACGTCTTCCGCCAAGCTGCGGACTGCGCTTGCGCAGTTTCACTCAGGGCTGGAGTGAGGCCAATAACCTGTCCGCGTTCGTTTCTGGATTCTGGACCTCGGGTTCCTCTGAGAACCGATTTCGGAACTGGCACATTGGCTGTTCCTATCCTAAAGTGGCCGCCGCGTGCGATGGCCTAAGAGAACTGTTGTTGGCTGGTGCGGAGAGATCCGGCCTCCGTTTGTAGGTTACGATAGGAAATGTGTTTTGTCGTGAGACTGCACGTGCGCGGGTCAGAAGGTGACTGCTACCGAGAGGGAGAGGGTGTATGTGAAACCGACTGCGAGGGTATCGTGCGTGGGGAGATGTGTATGAAACGGCTTGAGACCGTTTGAGGAGTGGCTGTGCCCGCGTGGGTTCACGCGGTGCGCACGTTCACTCGTGCGGTGATTGTGAGGTGATGCGGGATGCGACTTGGTGCGACTGGCCATTCGAAACCGTGGGATGTCGCTGTCTGTGGCGAGCGCGGCCACGCGACCCTTGACCTTTTAACATTCTGTGTGAGGCTGTTTGTGCAGGGTGCCCTTATGGTTAGCGGACGAGTTTGACTTTGGGGACCCCTGAGAAAGAAGGAAGCTGGTTGGCACCAGGCGGGACTGAGATGAATGAATCAGACCTCTAGGTCAACGCGACCTGAGCCTCAGATGTGTTCACAGGAGAGGTGTGAGGTGACGCTGTGTATGTCTAATTGTGTGTGAGAGACCAGAGCTGACTGAGAGGGCACATATTATCTGCCAAAAGAGACAAATCCATGGTAAAGATTTTTGGCCTTGAGAGACCAGTAACTCCATCACTAAGTACAGGTGAGGCAGTGGTGCTTTTGTTTAAGAACAAGTGATCTGCTTTTGTGTCTGATTCTTGGTCGTGTGTGTAGATGGTTTGCACTTGAGACTGTCACTGGGAGAAGACGCTGAGTGAAATACAGGAAACACAGTCTGCCTTCCATATTCATGAGTCCTGCATGCGTGGATTCAACCAACATCCAATTGAAAATATTATTTTTAAATGGGTGGTTGTGTCTAAAATGAACATGTACGAACTTTTTTCGTCATCATTCCCTAATCAATAGGGTATAGCAACTATTGACATAGTATTTACATTGTATTCGGTATTTTAGTAGCCTACAGATGGCCTAAAGTATATGGGAAGGTATGCATAGATTATATGCAAATACTCCACCATTTTATATAAGGGACTTGAGCTTCTATGGATTTTGAACCAATCCCCTGTGAACACTGAGGAAATACTGTGAAAGTGGTTGGTGAATGCACTCAAGTCTCTCGAATTGTATGACAGTGATAGGGGAGGTGATTATACTGTTTCAGCTTTGAGGCTGATATGTGTATGTGTTTTAAAGGATTATGATTGGGCTGGCATGGTGACTCACGCCTATAATTTCAGCAACTTGGGAGGCTGAGGCAGGAGAATTGTTTGAGCCCAGGAGTTCAAAACCAGTCTGGGCAACAACAGCAAGACCTCGTCTCTACAAAAAATTAGCTAGGTGTGGTGGAGTGTTCCTATAGTCCCAGCTACTTGGGAAGTTGTGGTGGGAGGATCGCCTGAGCCCAGGAGGTTGAGGTTGTAGTGAGCCATGAACATGCCACTCTCCAGCTTGAGTGACAGACCCCCAACTCAAAATAATAATAATAAAGTATAATAAAATACGGGATTGATTGAGTGGGAGGTCATGTGAGATCTGGTATGTTTTTATGTGTTTGAATGTGACTTGTGAGTTAAAATCCAGATGAAAGATAGTGTATGAAGTTATCTAAACGTGGTACCTACATAAGAGATTGCAGGGATCTGGGGTCCATGGATTATACGCATTAGGGAAAGAAAATAACCAGACCCTCAGGGATTACTTTTTAGGATAATAATGACAGAAGCATTTCATGTAAGAAAGGCAAAGCATATCAGATTGTCTTTTTCAGTAAGAAAAAAAAAATGCTGCCCCTTTTGTGATGGAAGCCATACAATATAGGCAGCCTGCCACCAGCGACTGGTGCCATACTGGGGACTCTGTGTTGGTTTCTGCACAGTCACCATAGTAAAGGTCACAGGTCCCTTTTGGAAGACATTAATACTATAAATTTCTGGAAATGTACTCGGCTTCTTCCTAAGGGGACTTGACTTCCCTTTAATTCAAGAGTTCTGAGTCTTTTACTGGCTTAAGTCTGGGAATTGATTGAAGGACACTGACTTTCTATTTTTATGATTCAAGTTACACTTTCATCCACTTGACCTAGAATTTTTCTGCTTATATAAATCAAATAAGACTTCGGTAGATTTCCTATCTGTTTAATGTCCACCAAAGAATACCAACCGTGCACCTAAATAGTTAACCCATAACAGAGACTTACTTTGAAATTTTCTTTCATGGTCACTCTGCATTCTTCATTACAATAACTTATTGTTCCATATTTTAAAATTATGTTTCAAATTTAAATTTAAATGACTGAACTGACTCTAGTTCCAGGAGACCCAAAACAGCACTGTAGTCTACCAGTCGGAGTAGGGAATTAGGGAGGTTAGGTAATCAGAGAAGTTTTTTTTCAGGTTTGTCTCACAGTGGGTCCCAGAACCATTCTGTGATTATTTCCCTAGTGCCATAATGCATAATTGGAATAGATACACTCAGTAACAGGCAGAATTCCCTTTGACCTATTGAATCCCTTTGAATTGATTCTTTGACCTATGAGTAAGGACTATTATGGTGGGAACGGTCCAGTGGAAGCTACTAAAACTACCTCTCCCTAGAAAAATAGTAAGCCAAAAGCAGTATCACATTTCTTGAGGGATTACAGACATTAGTGCCACCACTAAAGATACGAAAGTTGCATGGGTGCGGATTCCTACCCATCACTTTTCAACTTGCCTGTTTGGCCTGTGCAGAAGATCATGAAGAATGACTGTGGACTCAAACTGCAACTCACTGGGTCTTCATCCTGCTGACCTGTCCTGCAGATTTTGAATGTACCACACTTCCACAATGGCATGAGCAAATTCCTTAAAATAAATTCTCTCTCTCTTTCTCTCTCCACACACACACACACACACACACACACACACACACACACACACACACACACACACGTTTCTCTGGAGAACCCTGCCTAATATCCTAAGTATTTTACATGTCCAGCATCATTGAATCCTTCTAAGAACTCTGTAAGGGAGGTATCATTACCATTCCCAGTAAAACTGATGAGACAAGTGAGATACCAAGAGCTTAAATACCTCGTGAAAGGTCACAGAGTACACATGAGATGGAACCAGAATTTTCATTTCAAAGCCCTCATTCTCTAACTCGACCGTTTTCCAGCTCTACATCTTCTGTATCCTGTCTGCTTCACTATGCCATTTCTGATGAGTATTTCTGATTGATAACTAATTTGGAATGAAAATCATTATGTGTTCTATCATTTTAACAAATTGTCTATTCCCAAACATATTTTTTTACTAATTATTGATTATCAGGAATTCTTCAGTTAGCATTCTTACAATATTTTGTGTTCATTTTTAGAATTTGTGTAAGATGTTGGGCATGCCTGGCAATGTGTAAGAACTTGTACCTCAGTACTTGGAAGAAACACAAATTAATAAGATATAATTACTACCTTTCCGTTGCTTATAATTCAACAGGGAAA